AATGCCCCACACAGCTGTGTCGTTGGTTTTTATTTTGTTTGTTTGTTTTTTTTTTTTTGTCTTTTACACCGCATTTTTCTGTATCTTTTGCAGGTTTGGCTATGCTTAGATAACACATGCTTATCATAGAGCTACAGTAGCTCACGATGTTCCGTACAGGTTTGCAGCCTGGGAGCCAGAGGCTATATTGTGCGGCCCAACCCTGCAGAAGGCTCTTTCACCAGATTCGTGTGAGCGCGCGCCATGATGTCCGCACAATGGCGGATCCCTGAACAACTCGTGTCTCAGAGCACATCCCTTTTCGAAAGTGATGCATGACTGTGCTCAGAGTTAGCGTTGCTGAGTGACTCGGTTTATAGCTATCTATGTGTGTAATATGTGCCACATTCCCCTCCAAATCGATCTGTCCACATTCTACCTAGTAATATCTACAGTTCCTATTAGAACTTCATTTTTCAAAATTTCTAGATTTCAAACTTTGGGGCTATATAAATTTGTTGAGATGCTGCACAGTGTGGGAGAAACAGCCCCAAACCAGTGAGAGGAGACTCTAGCCGTGGCTTTTCTCTGCCTAGTTACAGGTCTTGTACGAAGTTGTTCACCTCTCTCAGCCTCTGTGTGCTCATGTTTAAATTGAAGGTGTGGGACTAAAATGTCTCTTAAATTCTTTCCAGCCTTAGCTTTTCTACAGTCTAGGCTTTAATAGAGGCTGAGCAAAGGGATCGAGGAAGCCCACATTCATTCTTGCAGTTCTTTCACTCTTCAGATCCTTATTGTACCCTACTGTATCCTACATCCTGGATATCTTTATAACATGAACAGCATCCTGTCTCATGAACCTCGCACTTGAGTTTGGCAGACCAGTAAATGGAGATGCCCTGGGTCCATGGAATCCTAGACCAGGGGTGGTCAGGAAAGGTTTCCTGGTGGAAATTATACTGTGTCTTAAGGATGAGTGGCATCAGTCAGGGAAATGATTTTCTTCAAGGGAAGTCGTTCCAAGAAAAGAAAGGCCTGGCTGCTGAAGGTGGCTCTGGGCATTTAATGATGGGAGAAATAATCCAGATATCAGTGAGCTTCAGCCTTGGTAAATGCCCCACACAGCTGTGTCGTTGGTTTTTATTTTGTTTGTTTGTTTTTTTTTTTTTGTCTTTTACACCGCATTTTTCTGTATCTTTTGCAGGTTTGGCTATGCTTAGATAACACATGCTTATCATAGAGCTACAGTAGCTCACGATGTTCCGTACAGGTTTGCAGCCTGGGAGCCAGAGGCTATATTGTGCGGCCCAACCCTGCAGAAGGCTCTTTCACCATATTCGTGTGAGCGCGCGCCATGATGTCCGCACAATGGCGGATCCCTGAACAACTCGTGTCTCAGAGCACATCCCTTTTCGAAAGTGATGCATGACTGTGCTCAGAGTTAGCGTTGCTGAGTGACTCGGTTTATAGCTATCTATGTGTGTAATATGTGCCACATTCCCCTCCAAATCGATCTGTCCACATTCTACCTAGTAATATCTACAGTTCCTATTAGAACTTCATTTTTCAAAATTTCTAGATTTCAAACTTTGGGGCTATATAAATTTGTTGAGATGCTGCACAGTGTGGGAGAAACAGCCCCAAACCAGTGAGAGGAGACTCTAGCCGTGGCTTTTCTCTGCCTAGTTACAGGTCTTGTACGAAGTTGTTCACCTCTCTCAGCCTCTGTGTGCTCATGTTTAAATTGAAGGTGTGGGACTAAAATGTCTCTTAAATTCTTTCCAGCCTTAGCTTTTCTACAGTCTAGGCTTTAATAGAGGCTGAGCAAAGGGATCGAGGAAGCCCACATTCATTCTTGCAGTTCTTTCACTCTTCAGATCCTTATTGTACCCTACTGTATCCTACATCCTGGATATCTTTATAACATGAACAGCATCCTGTCTCATGAACCTCGCACTTGAGTTTGGCAGACCAGTAAATGGAGATGCCCTGGGTCCATGGAATCCTAGACCAGGGGTGGTCAGGAAAGGTTTCCTGGTGGAAATTATACTGTGTCTTAAGGATGAGTGGCATCAGTCAGGGAAATGATTTTCTTCAAGGGAAGTCGTTCCAAGAAAAGAAAGGCCTGGCTGCTGAAGGTGGCTCTGGGCATTTAATGATGGGAGAAATAATCCAGATTGTTTCTGTTGCTAAGAAGGTTTGGAAGAGTGGCCTGAGGTGATCATGGAAAAGCAGGCAGAGACCAAACTGTACATGACTCTGTGCTTCAAAATCTTGACGTTTCTCCTAATATCACTCCAAATCTTTCACCAGATCCCTACTGACCCAAGGAAAATAGGTGGTTTATTACGAGGTGAGAGCTGAGATTCAGTGGTGCAGCTGGCTGAGCTGAGCAACATTATTTTGTCAGATAACACTTATGGCAGAGAATCACAGTCCAGGGAGCTTCAGGCAGAAATTCTTGGATGTAGGGAGAGCCTTTCCCCATTCTGGGACTCCAAGATATAAGAAGAGAACCAGCGAGCAGCTGGTTGCACGGCAGTTGAAAGTTTCCTGGGCCCCTTAGGAGAAGACTTTTCACATATCCCCATGGAAGCATAGAGGTTGGTGGGACTTAAGGGCCATCTGGATAGCCCAAGTTTAATGTCTATCCCTTCACTTCCCACTTTGGGTAGTATCACACTTGGACTTCTGTTCTTAGACTCCAGCAGTAACAAAGAAGTATCTGCTCAGGCTGAAGGTGGTGGATACAGGCCACCTCTGCCTGCTCTCACCAGTGTGAGTGTAAAAGGGGACTCACTGGAAAGACTTCCCAAGAGCTGCATGCCTTATTTGAAGTTTCCCTTGAGTCCTTCAGGGGAGGAAGGTAGGGTCTGCCAGGCTCTGCTGTCTTCAAAACCAGTCTGGCTCTAGAGTCTTTAGGGAGTGGCATTTTACCAAAGTCCAGAAAATCTCAGCACGGGAGAGCCAGAAAGAGTAGTACAGCTCCCTAGTCTTAGCACCTTGGGTTCTGATAGGGAGACAGAGGCCCAGAGAGGACTTGGCTTGTCCACAGTTGCACAATCAGTTGGCAGGGTTGGGAGGTGTGGGTTTTTTTTTTTTTTTTTAATCAGAATTAGAATCTTGTGCTTCTACTTTGTGTCCCTAGCTGCTTCTGCTAAGTAAAATTCTTCTGAAAGTTAATCTCAACCCCTTAATGAAACATGGCTTTTTTCTTTCAGAAGAAAACTTCACGAGCAGTTCGAATTTCAAAGTAATGCTGTTAGGAAGTACATGGATGGGCTGCTGTTCTACCGGGAGATTCTAAAATCACATTTCCAGCTGTTCCTAAATGTGTTAAGGGAAAGTGAAATTTAAGGAAAAGGAGAATGGAAAGACCAATTGATAGGATTTGGTGGTGCTAGGAGAATGTTCTGAATTTGGCCTTCTGGCTCTACATGGTTCCAGTCTCTGAGGATGTTTGCCAGACCTTGTTTGGACTCAGTGAGGGAGAAAGACATTGTTTGGCTTGAAGTTGAAAATGTTCAGCTGTGTTTCTTTACTGTGTTCTCAGGAATTAAAGATTGGAGGGAGCACTGGATGGAGGGTGTTCCTCCACCCTGGGATCTTCTGGGGTGCTTCATAGGGGCCAAAATGTCCACAGAGACCATGTGGTTTGAGCCCTGGGAATAGCTCATGCTGAGGCTTGCCTGCCAAGATGCATGTGTTTATTCAATCCCCCCTAGGATGTTGATCAGACTGTGATCAGATCTTCCTGAGGGCCAAGGATCTTCCCTCCTTAGCTTTCACTGTTGCACAGCTCTGTGCTTTCAGTCTCCAATCTAGCCTCTCCCTGTGGGTCTCCTTTTCCAATTTTAACACTGGGCACTCTACCTCCTAGTTCATGGAAGCAACTCCTTCGTAGCTCCAGCCTCCATACCAAATGTTGCCTTTGCTTTAATATGTTCAATAATGGGATTACCTCTCCTCATGTCCCTGCTTCTCATGGAAAATGCCTTACTTTCATACCCAGAATCTCAGGACCCCAAGTAAATGCTGTGCTCTCCTCACTTAACCAGTCTTTTCTAGACCATGAGTGTAACTGTCCCTAAAACAAGTCTCAATCCTTCAAGGCACATTTTTTAACTCATTCAACAAATATTTGCTGGGGATCATTTTGTGCCAGTTACTCTGCCAGGACTGAGGATATAAGAAAAAAATATCCTGGTTCCTGCCTCATCAAGTTTTCTGTCTAATGAGAGAGGCACACATTAAATAAGGACATACACACACACACACACACACACACACGCACACGGAATGGTGAAAACATGGTAGCATATCCCTGTAATTCTAGCTACTTAAAAGACTGAGCCAGGAGAATTACAAGGTTGAGTCCAGCCTGGGCAAATTAGAACCTATCTCAAAATAAAATTTGAGAAAAGGTCTGGAGGTGGTAGAGGGTCTCAGTGATAGAGCATCCTTGGGTTCAAGCCCCAGCACCACAAAACAAAAAACAAACAAACAGAAACAACAGGGTGCTGTGAGTGACAGTAACATGAGGGATTCATTTGGATGGGTTGGGGCTAAAGTGTTCGGGGAGGAGGTGACAGTTCCTATGGTGACCTGAAGGATTGGATGGAACCACACAGGAAAAGAGATTGAGGCGGAGCCTCTCGAGGGGCAGAATGTATGGAGGCAGAATGTGAAAGTCATTGTAAGGCAGAAACTGGGAAAAGTCCATAATGCCTGTCCGTAAAGTGGTTAGAAGGTAGAAATAAAGAAGCCAGGAAGCGAGAGATGGGATTGGAGAGGGACGCTGGAGGCAGTCCATATCTTTTAAGGAAGAGTGAGGAGCTGGACTCTTTCTAAGTCCAAGGGGAAAAGAGGAGCACTGACCGCTTCCCTGCTTCCTGTAAAGCCCCACCTGCTCCTGTCACCTGAGACGGTGTTTGGTCATCTGATTCAGTCTGACCCTCTGCCCAGCCACCCTCCTGAAGGGCTGTAGAAACAGTCAATTCTGAAGTCTTCCTTCCACTTACCCGAGCCTCTGCTTCCAGGACCAGACCTTGAACTCCCCCAGGATCCATCGGTGACATCTGACCCCCACACCTTCTTCTGTCCTACTGAAGTGTAATTCCTTCCCCCCAGCTCCTCTCTTCGTTGTTCTTCCAAGTTTGCTCTTTTACCTCCTTAAGACCCTCTGCTCTTCACCACTCAGTTGTCCTTTGCTACCCAGTTTTGCATTCTCCCCTCTCTAGGGCTGAGTTTACTAGCCCATCACATCAACCCAGACTTTCCTTGCCGTTATTATCTCCCTTGCGCCTGCCCTGCAAAATCCCAACCCTGCATGCTTGGAGTCCTTTCCATCTTGTCTTGTGTCTGTGTTGATAAGAGGACACGTGGCAGGCATATTCCTTTGTGACCTCACAATTTCTGAAAAAACCTAAAATATTGCCTGTTTAGGGATTGCCCTGGCCATCACTTTTTGTTTTGCTTTCTTGTCCTTCCTTGTGATCATTTAAAATCTTTATAACTCTCTCCCTAACTTCCCCTTCTTAACCCCCTACCCAAATTTCACAAGGTGACCCGATTTTCTAGTCTGCAGTGAAAATAAAAGCCATTGGATAGAAACTTTCTTTCTTGACAACGTTGCCCAAAACCTACAGATTAACCTGTGTGGGGGCTGTTTTCCTCTTTCTTCTGTGCTGACCAGGGCTCTGGTGCTCTGTATCCTAACATCTTCCCCTGAGAGGAGACTGTGAAGGCAGAGTCCACAAATCTTTGTCTTTTGCTCTGTCCCCAGTGCCTAAAACAGTATGAGCACATAAAAGGTGTCTGAGAAACATTTGTTGAATGATTTCTCTCTTCTCTTCCTTCATCCTCTACCCCTCTTTTGATTCACTTTCCTAGCTGTTGCACCTGCTCGAGGCTTTTTCCTTCATTTAAAACAAAAACCAAACCAAACCACAACAGAAACCTTTTGACCCAGTGCTCCTACCCCGCTGGCTATAGCTCTGTTCCTATCTCTGCTCCCCAGCATGTGCTTGAAGGAGTTGCTCGAGCCCCATCACCACTGCACCCTCATCCGTTCACTCCTCCACTCCTTCCCTTGGCTCTGCCCCTCCGAGGCAATTGCTCTTTCGGAGGACCCCAGTTTTTCTAAGAACAGTGCACATTGTGTATGCTTCAGAATAGCTGACTTGTTGGCAGTGGTTGACCCTGTCTGCCTCTCTTTTCTTTGGAGATGCTCTTCTGCCTTCCGTGCTCTGTTCTTCCCAATGCAGATTCCCCCTCTAATCTACCCTATCCTCCAGCCAGCCAGATCTCCCAGATCAAGTTGGGTCATATCACTCTCCCTCAGGCCTCTAGGGTGGCCTGGTTTTCCCCTGGATGATGTCTAAATCCTTTGCATGAGGTGGTAGAGACTCAGCCTGTTGGGCCTGTTCATGAGCAACTCTGAGGCCTCATCTTGAGAACTGTGTGCTCCAATCTACTAGGATGTGATACGTTCTCTAGCCTCTAGACTTTGCCATATTGTCGCCTCTGGTTTTCTGACCATCTGTCATTTTGTTCCTCACAACTCACATAAGCAACCCTAAGTCAACCCTAGGTGTTTCAGGTCTTCTGTTGTCCAGGCCTAATCTCATTATGCCTGGATTGATTTGCACTTCTAATCCTCTGACAACTCTTAGTTACTTCTCAGGTTCTTGGGAAGTATTCCAAGGCGTGTATAGTGCATTCATTCGTCTTCGCATCTCATGTTCTCAGTGATCCCGTGAGGCAGGAATATCCACGGTTAGTTCCATTTCACAGACAAGAAAACCGAGGGGTGGAGTTTCAAGGTCACACCTTCAGCAAATGCCGGATCTAGGACTTGAAGCCGGGTTAGCTTACTTGTAACCCTACTGAGTCCTTGTCCTCAATCCTGGATGCATGTGTCCTCACACTTCCAGTGCCAGCTGCATAGAGTAGTACACCATGTGCAACAGCTCAGCCTTGGTGAGTGTCCTGAGCTGAGACCACAGCTCTGAGAAGGCTGCTTGCCAGCCTGTCCTTAGATACACCTGCTTAGAGAAATGCCTGGTGAGGGTTGCCAGGGAACAGATGGCAGGGATATACTACAGTGAAGGCTCCTCGTTACTTAAGATGAAATGCTTTCTTTTCCATGACTCTATTTCCCCAGTGAATGGTGGATCATCTGTGGATATCACTAAAATTAAGTGTTTAGGAAGGACTGAGGTGAAGGAGGTGGGAGACTGGAAAAATGGCAAAGAGTTGGAAGTGGGCAGGGAGTCCTCAGTCTGAAGGAAGACCTGTCAGAGGAAAAAAGCTACTGCTGAGTGTGCAGGAGGTGCCCTCACGCCACACACATCCACAAGGCCTCCCACTGACTCCAGCCCAAGTCACTCCCTCCTGTCCCTGATTAATAAAACCAGCGTCACTGTCCCTGGCATGTTGCAAACCTTGGCGTGGGTGCCATCAAGCTCACCATCTGCTTTTAATCAGTTTTTCTCTGCCCCTTTGATTGTAGCTTTGCTTGAGCCTCTCCTGATGGGTCCCCTGATGCAGCTACACATCTGGGCTGCCTCCAAAGGAGGTGGAGAACATCACCTGAAGATGATCTGAGAGTGGGCTCTGTCCTTGGACAAGGTCACTGAGTATTTTTGTGTTTGTAAAGAAGGAAAGGAGGCAGGACACCAGGGCTCTATCTTGGCAAGTGAAATGAGCCTTCTTTTCACTGTGGGTTCTTCTTTTCTGGGCAAGTTCATATAGTTACTAAACGACGCTGAGTCTCTCTTGCCTGTCCTGCACAAGGATTGGGATTATAGGATTTTATTGTCTCTGAAGCCTTAGTTACTTTTGCTGTTGCTGAGGTAAAATAGCTGACACCCACAGTTAAAGGGGAAAAGGTTTGTGCAGCTCATAGTTTGTAGAGGTGTCAGTTTATAATTGGATGGCTCCAAGGCAGGGTGCCATCTTAGAGGAGAAACAGTTTATGGTAGGTAGAAGGTGGCAAAGCAAAAAAAAAGCAAGAGAGGACCTTATTTCTTTTTATCCCTTATATCTTATTCAAGCTACTTAGGGCAGGGAGTACTCACCCTTAATCCTAGTGCCCTTGATCCTAACATTGCATTATGAATCTATTCCAGCATCACACTAGATACAGCCACCTCTGCAAAAGCCCCACCTATGACCTCATGAGGCTAAACCTGAAGTCAGGAGTTATATGAAAATATGTATTAATTTCATTTTCCAGGGCTATAACCTATGGTGCTAGCATTTGATGACTATTCATGTTTCATCTTAATGAGTTTTACACTTGAGGCTGGCAAGAAATAGGCAGGTGTGGTAAGTAGAATAATAAATTCCAAGATTTCCACATCCTAATCCATACTTTATATGACAAAAGGAGCCTTAAAGATATGATTAAACTAAGGATTTGGAGATAGAGAAAAGAGCCTGGATTATCCAGGTGGGACCAGGAATTATTTTAAAACAGAGATCAGAGAGAAGATGTGAGGATCAAAGCAGAGTTGAGGCAGTGAGCTGGGATACAAGTAGCCGGTAGAAATTTGGAAATGTAGAAATCAGATTTTTCCAGAATTCCAGAATGAGCCAGTCTTGACTTTAGTCCAGTGAATCTAGTATTAGACTTTTGATTGCCAGCACTCTAAGAGAATAGATTTGTGTTAAGTCATTAAGGTTATGGTAATTCATTATCGCACTAATGGAAACTAATATGGAAGGATTGATTTTATCTCTGAACGAAAAGAACACTTGGAGACATGTAGCAAGGCTACCCTGTCCAAAACTCTACTCTGGGAGACCTTCTGTTTAGAAACATTCCTTTGGGCTGGGGTGGTAACATCTCCACTGAAATGCACTCACCTCCATAACAGCACTGGACAATAGAAATATGACAAAACTTAGGTCACCAACAGAAATATAACAATATCGAAGTCAAAACATGTTACAAAGGTAATTTCAAAATTTCTGATAGCCACACTAAAAAGACTGAAAGGTAAAAATCATTTTAATAATGTATTTTATTCAACTCAATATATCCAAAATGTTTCCAAAATGTTACCATTTGATCTAATTACCAATATAAAAGATACGGTGGTATTTACATTCTTTTTCTTTTCTTTTTTTGGATTATCTTTAAAATCAAGTGTATTTTTCATTTACAGAGCATCTCAGGTTAGACCAGTCATACAATGCTACTATTTGATCTCAGGTCCAATCAGCACAGCTCTTAAAGGTTAAGACTGTCAACTTCTAAGAGTGGATCAGTTCATCCAACTCTTCCTAACTGACCTCGAGTGGACAAAGGCCTTCGGGAGGCAACACCGTGGAAAGTCTGTAAAGTACACAGGACTCTGTTACAAATGGTCACCCCAGGTCAGGGCAATGGCTAGTGAGGAGTAGGGCTAGAATCCAGTGGTGCTGGCACAAAAATGAAACAGCAAAGCTGGGCACGATGATGAAGCTCCACCAGACACACTGTTCTCTAATTTGCTTTCCATCCTCCTGGTAATGTACAGAATTAGGAAGCTCCAAATTCTTTCATAGCCTTCAAGTGGCTAACCTTAAGTGACAGCAGGCCAATAAATTATGAAATGTGCACTCATGCTTTTCTGTGGGTCATTTCACCTTTGGTTTAGCAAACTATCTGAGTTTCCTGTCTGCTCCAAGAGCTCATTGAGGGGGCTCCACCTCCCCAGTGCTACGTCCTTTGCTGCTTCTCAGCATCCTCATAATCTCAAAGACTTCTTCTGATGTCCTCTGGAGATCAATTAGGAACCACAGAGCTCAGGAGCATGGGAGTTATTTTGGAATTCAGCTTGGAATACCTGACCCAGAGCAGAGTAGATGGAAGGGCCTGGTCCCTAGATAACGTAAGTTCATAGCTCATAATAAATGGCTGAAATGACCTGGCTTCAGCCTTCCAAGGTCAAACTCCAGAGCTGGCCCTGCTCTATCCAGTTCATTGTTCTGGGTGTGTCTAGCTTTGTCCTCCTCTTGCTTTTTATCGTTGTCACCCTGCCCCTGGCTCACTGCTATGCAGATGGCTCATCTCACCTGCCAGACCACAGCTGTCTCTTCTTTCCCTTCCTATCTTGCTGTAGTTTCCACTGATACAGACTGATTCCTGTCCACTGCACCCTAGACTCTCTCTCTCTCTGCCTCTCTCTCTCTCTCTCTCATTGTCTCTGCCCCCTCATCCTGATCCAAAAAGCCTCCGATGTGATGTAATAAAGATAACAGTTGACACTTGACTAGTTTTGACATCTGCTAGGCAATATTTTTAATGGTTTTCCCATAATAACTCTAGATATGGTAATTTTCATGATCTCTATTTTATCATAGGTAACACTGAAGTAGAGTGAAGTTAAGGTCACACAAACCATTGTGAGAGTCAGCTTTGAATCCAGGTAGTCAGACTAGAGTTCGTGAAATATGACATCAAACTGCTCTCCTCATA